AATCCTAACACCCTCAGTGTTCCAGCCTGTAGAAAGAACCAAGGCAGACACAGTGATACTGACAAGTCCAGGTCCGCCAACAAATCCCCCCCACAACCCAAGAGGCAACTCTACACATGGACATCACCAGACGGTCAACACAGAAATCAGATTGACTATGTGCTCTGAAGCCAAAGATGGAGAAGCTCTATACAGTCAGTAAAAACTAGACCAGGAGCTGACTGTGGCTCAGATCATGAGCTTCTGGTTGCAAAATTTAGGCTTAAATTGAAGAAAGTAGGGAAAAGCACTAGGCCACTCAGAAATGACCTAAATCATATCCCTGATGAATATACAGTAGAGGTGACAAATAGATTTAAGGAATTAGATCTGATAGACAGAGTGCCTGAAGAACTATGGACGGAGGTTCATAACATTGTACAAGAGGTAGTAACTAAAACCATCCTAAAGAAAAAGAAATGCAAGAAAGCAAAATGGCTGTCTGAGGAAGGTTTACAAATAGCTGAGGAAAGAAGGGAAGTGAAAGGCAAGGGAGAAAGAGAAAGATACACCCAATTGAATGCAGAATTCCAGAGAATAGCTAGAAGAGATAAGAATGCATTCTTAAATGAACAATGCAAAGAAATAAAAGAAAACAATAGAATAGGGAGGGCCAGAGATCTCTTCAAGAAAATTGGAGATATGAAGGGAACATTTCATGCAAAGATGGGCATGATAAAGGACCAAAATGGCAGGGACCTAACAAAGGCAGAAGAGATTAAGAAGAGGTGGCAAGATTACACAGAAGAACTATACAAGAAAGAGCTTAATGTCCCTCATAACCACGATGGGGTGGTCACTTACCTCAAGCCAGACATCCTGGAATGTGAAGTCAAATGGGCCTTAGGAAGTCTGAGCAACAACAAAGCTAGTGGAGGTGACAGTATTCCAGGTGAGCTATTCAAAATCCTAAGAGACGATGCAGTAAAAGTGCTTCACTCAATATGCCAGCAAATTTGGAAAACTCAACAGTGGCCACAGGATTGGAAAAGGTCAGTTTACATTCCAATCCCTAAGAAGGGCAATGACAAAGAATGTTCAAACTACCGCACCATTGTACTCATTTCACATGCTAGCAAAGTTATGCTCAAAATCCTACAAGCTAGGCTCCAGCAGTATATGGACCGAGAACTTCCAGAAGTACAGGCAGGATTTCAAAGAGGCAGAGGAACTAGAGATCAACCTGCCAACATACTCTGGATCATGGAGAAAGCTAGAGAGTTCCAGAAAAACATGTACTTCTGCTTCATTGACTATGCTAAAGCCTTTGATTGAGATGGAAGTACCAGACCATCTTATTTGTCTCTTGAGAAAGTATACAAGGCTGTATACTGTTGCCCTGTCTATTTAACTTATATGCAGAGCACATCATGAGAAAGATGGGGCTAGATGAATCACCAGTTGAAATTAAGATTGCTGGGAGAAATATCAACAACCTCAGATGTGCAGATGATACCACTCTAATGGGAGAAAGTGAAGAGGAACTAAAGAGCTTCTTGATGCGGGTGAAGGAGGAAAGCACAAAAGTTGGCTTGAAACAACATTAAGAAAACTAAGATCATTGCATCTGGTCCTATCACTTCCTGGCAAATAGATGGGAAAGAAATGGAGGTAGTTTTCCTGGGCTCCAAGATCACTGCAGATGGGGACTGCAGTCAAGAAATTAAAAGACACTTGCTCCTTGGGAGGAAAGCTATGGCAAATCTAGACAGCATACTAAAAAGCAGAGACATTACCCAGCTGACAAAAGTGCGTATAGTCAAGGCTATGGTTTTCCCAGTTACAATGTATAGCTGTGAAAGTTGGATCATAAGGAAGGCTGAGCGCCGAAAAATTGAGGCCTTTGAATTCTGGTGCTGGTGAAGACTCCTGTGAGTCCCTTGGACTGCAAGGTATCAAACCAGTCAGTCTTAGAGGAGATCAACCCTGACTGCTCTTTAGAAGGCCAGAAACTGAAGATGAAACTCAAATACTTCGGCTACCTAATGAGAAGGAAGAACTCCCTGGAGAAGACCCTAATGCTGAGAACAAGTTATGGCAAAAGAAGAAGGGGAGGGCAGAGAATGAGGTGGCTTGATGGAGTCACTGAAGCAGTCAGTGTAAGCTTAAATGGACTTCAGGGGATGGTGGAGGACAGGAAGGCCTGGAGGAATGTTGTCCATGGGGTCGCGATGGGTCGGACACGACTTCACGACTAACAACAACAACAACAACAACTATAACAGTATAACAAATACCAGAGCTACTGAAAAAGTCTTCTTCACCCCCTTTTAATTTAGTTATACAGAAAGTTTATTTTTTAAAATATTTATACACCACAACTTATAGCTCAAATTAGGGTTCTCTGGGCAATGTACATTCTATTTAAAAACAACAATAAAATAAAAGATTCTATAAAATACAAAATATAGGCAGAGGTATAGAAGTTTAAGAACATCAATTAGAAATAGAAATATGTACAATATAAAATGTATACAATAAAATTAATTATTAAAATACCTAGAAAATAGAACAGTCTTTGCCTGGCACTGAAACTCTAGTAATGAGGGACCCAGGTGAACTGCTCTGGGGAGCCCATTTCAGAGGTTAGGTGCAAGCATCGAGAAGGCCCTCCTTCTGTTTGTCATGCCCCTCACTTCCTTTGGGAATGGTTAAGAAGGTGCTCTGAGTCAGATCTTAAGGATCAGGTAGGTACATATGGAAGAAAGTGGTCAGGAATCCTGGTCCCTGTCTTTATGCGAGTCAAAACAAGCCTTTAAATTGGGCTCAGACCTCAACTGGTAGCCAATGTAGGTGGTATAGGATTGGCATAATATGGGTGTGCAGACTAGCTTTTGTCAGCAGCCGTGCAGCCTGATTTTGAACCAGTTGAAGTTTCTGGACTGTCTTTAAAGGCAGCCCCATGTCTAACCAGGATGTTACTGTGCTCCGACGCTATCTGTCCAGGAAGTTATATCAGCTATAGCTAAAAGAAGGCACCCTTGGCCAGAGTCTACCTGAGCCTCAAGTGATAGTTTTGGGTCCAGCAGCACCCCCAAGCTATGGACCCCTTCCAGAACAGGCTGAAACCCTCCTAACCTGTCAGATGATCCATCCACTAATGGTACCGCATCTTTCCTGGGCTGGGCTTCAGTTCACTTCATCTCATACAAAGTGATAAAAGGACATAATTATTAGTCAGTCCTCTAGCATTCAGTGCCCCAGAAAAAGAGACCCTTTTTTCTCCTAGCTCTCTCAGAGGAATGAATCAGCCACTTCATTGGGGTTATACCTGGACACCTCCATTATCCTGTGTCTTCTGGAGGGCATTCCAATCAAGACCTTTGGGTTAGCCTCTCCCACTGGACAATGGGCAGCATCTAATAAATAAAAATCCTCCCCTTGGGTAGGAGCCATCCAAACTTCCTAGCCCTGCCCTTGCTGGTCCAGTAGGACCTTTGCAGAGCTCTAGGATCCCAGCAGTAGCCAGGCATACATTTTCACTACAGGCTGTGCTTTAGTGTTGCTTCTGACTATTGGAGGAGTGCCTCAAAACAGGCCAGGTTGCCCTAACCAGGGAAAAATGTCCCTATCTACAAGTGGAGGTGCTTCATGCACTCACTTGGTCCAAAGCTCTCTCCAGCTGGGAGCAGGTGGAACGGTCAAGCTTGTCACCTATATGTGCCTCAGAGCCTGCAGACCCGACGTGTACAGCTCATCCAGCCACACCTTTTTGTTCTATTCATAGATCATAGAATAGTAGACTTGGACGGGGCCATGAAGGCCATTGGGTCCAACCCCCTGCTGTTGCAGGACACCAGATTGCCCCATTTGGTGTGCAATCACTTGGAACTTCATTGCCTGGCTCCTCGCTTTTCCTAGGTGGGAAGAGGTAAGACCTTGGGCTAATGGCCATTGTAAGGCATGGAGGCCTCTTGAACTATGACTCGCCTCACACCAAGTATGGATCCATCATGTGTTGGTTTTTCACCTTTGGCAGTGTGAGAGTCCAACAGTTAAGTGAGTCCCCCCCCACCCACCCACCAAAAAAAAGGACCAAGGAAGCAATTGACTGATCATCTGACTGAACATCTTCCCCAAAATTGACTCTATTCTTCTCCTAACCACATCTCAAGATAGCTGAGAGAGCAAGCCAAGGCTGGAGGCATCAGTGGAAAAGCCAGATAGGCAGCACCATCACTGGGAAACAACTTTTTGTAGTGTGAATCCCACCTACCTACTCAGGAGATCCGACCCTCCCTAAGTTTGGGCCATCGATTTTAAAAGAGTTTAGATCCACCTGCCCTCAGCCAGGAGGACCATGAATCTGTTATTCTTTTTCAGGAGCCCATAAACCCTGTAAGGGAAGCCTAGTAATTCTTCAAGGAGCAGTTTTATGTGTAGGAAGGAAAGATACCCTTTCGTTCACCTCCGTTATCATGCACTCCATCCACATGATCTGCTTCCCCAGTGCTGAAGGGGCCCTACCAAGTTCCCTCGAATTCTGCAGGAGCTCGTCGACTTTAATAGGTCAACTCAGCTGGTCTAGGGCCAGTCACTAACGCGCCATCTCATTTCCCAGCTTGGTCAAATGGGAGTAGTGCCCTCCATCTCCTGGAGCCATACCCACAGCAGAGCCAGATAAAAGAGCAGCTCGCCACGAGGGCTGGTCGCCTAGGTTTCTCAACCAAGGCAAGGGTGAATTGGCTGTCCCGTCGCGGAAACCAGCTTTCTCTTGCCAGCCAAGTGGCCCCGCCTCCTGGTTGCCAGCGGGCTGGCGGACATGCCCAGGTCTGGCTTGCTCGCGCGCTTGCTTGAAATCCCGCCCAGTGGGGAGCGTCACTGGCTCGGATTGAAACACGCACGCTGGAGGAGGAAGCGACGGCAGCAGGAGCAGCCCGCAGTTAACACTCCGGTGCTTAGGTAGAGCTCTGGGCTGCATGCGACCCGCAGCACAGGGGCCGTTACCCGTCAAGGAGGGGACGCCATGTGTCTCCCGGCTCTGACCAGGCTTCTGCTCCTTCATCTGCTCCTGACCAAGCTCCACATCGCTAGAGGTGAGTCTGGGGAAGACTGGGGTGGGGGTAGGGGACCGCGTGTCTCGGGGCTGAGCAAGTGCGAACCGCTGGACCCAACTCCGGCTGTTTGTTCTGGCCGACTCACCCGGGAGGGCTTGGGGAGAGCGAGCCACGGCCACTCCGATTGCTGGGCCCTCGTGCGTGCGCGCGCGTGTGAGTGTACACACAGAAGAGGCAGAGCCATTTTACTCCTTGGATTCTGCCAAGGAAAAGCTAATATTCTGGTGAAATGGACAGGGCACAAACTGCTCCTGGATGCATTAAGCCAGATTTTCCCCTAGGACCACACCATCACCTTTTCTATAGGAAATGTTTCCCGTTTAACGGCGTGCCGATCAGAACACGTTTCATCCGCTATTTGCCCTTTCATTCTTCTTTCCCTTGCTCTGTAAATACTGTCAGGAATTACATGCATAAATGCGCGATTAGTATTATTTAAACATTTCTGACTTCCCTTGCTCCCTTTAAAAACAACGTCCCTGTGTGGATAGTGTCACAGGGAAACGGAAAACAATGAGGCTGCACGGGGGGTTTTTTCCCAAGAGGCTACTTGGCTTGAAACCACCCTTTGTTTTTGTTGTCAACCTGCGCGCTGGTCCTCCTTCAGTCCGAAGATATGAGCGGTGCAGCTGGCCTAAAATCGGTTTGCCCTGTGTGGGAAAAAGAGCATCATTTGAGGGTAGAGATGCCGAAATGCAGATGGTCTTTGTGCGCTTTCCGTTTGCCTCTCGAAGAAGGAAGAACGTGGCCTAGAACGCTCCGGGCTTGCTTGCCGTTTGCAAGCTGGCTGGAAAAGGGATGGCTGGGAAACAAGGGAGGGGGTCCAGTATCCCCCTGCTCTTCTATCCTGTCTCTAAAATCCGGGGGTCGGGGTCTCTGTCTCTCCGTTTCCACTTGCAGGCTCTGCGAAGGAGTGCGAGGAGGACCAGTTCCAGTGCCGGAATGAACGCTGCATTCCTTCTATTTGGAAATGCGACGAGGATGATGACTGCTCAGATAATAGTGACGAGGCAGATTGCCGTGAGTGCCCGGGAATGATCAACCCCACTCTCTCGATTTCAATCTTGGCTTGCAGGCAGCAGGACAGCTGGCTAACTGGCTGAGAGGGGGTGGATGGGGAATCGGATTTTTGCGCTGTTCTGCCGGCTAGTTAAAGTACGGGGCTGGAAGAGATGGAAGAGGAAGCAGCCCCCCCTCCCCAATTTAGCGTTCCTGTGCATTCCACTTGTTAGTTTGGTGGAAAGTATGGCGAGAAAAATGCTGTGAGGCCCATTTCCCTTAAATCACGAAGGGAATGTATCCCATGTGCAGGAAGGCGTGGATTTTCGTTGAGATCTTACGGGAAAAGTAAGCGTTGTGTTCGAAGGATTATGTGTAGTTCTGTGGCTTCCAGCTTGACCGAAGCACGTTGGGTTTCAGCGTCTTTTAAGAAGCTTACAACGTTAGTTGGACACGTTTCTTTTTTGCATAATCGCACCGTGTAAAAGATCCTGTTTCAAAGTTCCGTGGTACAGCGTAAAATTTCCTCCTCTTGCAGAGAATGAATGAAAGTGCCTCTTCTGCCGGCGAGTTTTTGATTGGTTGCCGGAGGAACGCCAGATAGGTCACGTGGTATGGGTTCGCTCAAAAGACAGGACCGGGGGAGGGAAAAGCTGCGCATACCTTGAACTAGCCCCCATTCACTCTGCGTCTTCAAAGGCACGCCTTCCTGCCCTTGGCTTAGGCAGAGAGGACGAGATATTTGGAAGAGCTGGTTTGGCGATCTAAATTTACTCACCTAAAGCCGTTTAATATTGCATAGTCATAATGAATCCGGTGGGGGTCAGGGATGATTAAGCTCTTTACTAGGAAATGGCAATCCAGGTGATGACTTGTTCCAATAGATTCTTAAATGTAAATACGGGGAAGGGACATGTCTACTGGCTGGCCAGTCCTGCCTAGGAATAAATTACATAAATTCAGGTCAAAGAGACTTTAGTTCTTGGTAGGTGTATGCAGCTTTGCACAGTTAGTGCACAATCTTTCCACTAATATGAGAAGCAGCTTTTTAAAAGTCCTCTAGTTACTCAGTTTTTTCTTATGTTTACCAAGTTTTAGATGACAAACTGTAGATCTGTTATGCAATCTTTATCATTAGCATTTGATTTCACATTATTGCATGCAATTTGAGTTTCTAGTACCCTTGTTTAAGAGACACATTTTCTTAGGGTCAAAGCTTTTTTTTAACAGCTTTTCCAAATGATATAAACTGTATGGAATCACTTTTTTCTCTAGTTAAAAAGTAATCAAACACTAGACAGCTGAAGGAGTACCAATTAAAAAGTGATCAAATTCTAGACAGATAATGGAGTATGACCTGTGTTTCAAATTTGGGAGTATGTGTGGGACTAGACAGACCAGAATGCTGCCTTTTCTTGTTTAACAGACATCTTGGTATTGTCATCATGTGTCTGGGTGCTTATCAAATAATTGTATAAATATTAAAAGTTGCATTGTTTGTTGATAGCAAAGTAACATGTGATTAATAACAGATAAAAGATCCCTCTTACAATTTAATCTACAGGATAGTGGTAATGTTTCTGATTGGATGCTGCTGCTAAAATACTAAGTGAATGTGTTAAAAGACTCATGTAGATGATTTAGGGAAATAGGGATTTAGGGATTTGAGTGCATGCTGTACTGTAATTTATAAACTCCTCAGTGGCTGCTTTTATAACTGCAAGTGCCTATATACCAAGTTCACTTTTACACATTGTGTGGACAATGTTTGTGAAATAAATAAATGGATTTCTTTATTTGGGTTTACGCTTTGCCAGAGGAACTAGCAGAAAGTAGCAGCCACAGGGTGCTTGGATTACTGGTGTAGTGATTCTGTTCTGTAGCACTGAGGACCATGTGGTCCTCCGTGCGAGGTGGTGGCAGGGGGAACATGTGTCCCTCCAGGTATTCTTGGACTCCATCAGCCATCATAATTGGCTGTGCTGGCCAGGACTAATAAACACTGCAGTCCTATAACATCTCAAAGCCCACACATTGGGTGGAGGCCTAGCCCATGGAGTCGGAAGATAAAGTGATAAGCCTGTGTCAAGACTGTACCACAGTGGCTTGTGATTCACATTATGGATTGTTTTTGATACCTAATAGCTCCTGCATGTTGAAATGGTTATAGTCTGCTGCTTTCCAGGATATAATAGGTTTCTTAATAAGGGGCTTTCTTTTCCTTGAAAAGTCATTCAGTCATATGAGCCTTTGCTAGTCGTCTGAGGTAAATTCCAAATAATGGTTTGTTACCTCAGCAACTGTTTGTGAGAAATAGATTTATTTGCTGCTGGATTGGATCTTTTGACACTATCACCTCAGTTTCTATTTCAAGTAAGTTTTATTATTATTTTTCTACCAACTAACAAAAAAACAAAACAAAACAAAAACTAAAAACCATCAATCATCAGAAACATCAGACCTACTGGGTCAGCCCCCCATACTTTTTTTATAGTAAACCATAAACATATTTAAATCTATGCATAGTCCCGTTTCTCTAGCCAATAATAAAAAGAGTTGCAAGTTTGACAGAAGTATGTATCCTCTTTCTCCTTCAGAGACAAAGTCAATCTGTCCATTTTGGCACAAAGATCTTTTTAAAAATCGGTTTGTCGGTAGGTGGTTCTTCACTCCTCCAATGTTGGGCAACTATCACCTCAGTTTCATGTGGACAAGGCTTTCATACCTGTGTGAGAACTGTAAAATTTATCACACAAAAGAAAATCAAGTTGTCAAGCCTTAAAGAAAAAAAAATCTGAGGTGTGTTTACACAGAAAGAGAAATATGGTTATGTTAGGACATACGGTTTTTAATTTACACTGTTCATGCTTGGCATAAATTACTACTTATATGAAGGAAAATCAGCTTCCAGTTACTAAAGGTCCTACTCTTTCTTTCTTAGATTTATTCCCCACCATTTTTCTTTCAGATAACCTGGAGTGTCCCATATCATTCTTCTCCTATTCTCAAACTTATCCACACAGCAACAACTCCGTGAGGTAGCTTGGGCTGAGAGTCTGTGACTGCCCCAAAGTCACCCAGTTGGCTCCGCAGCTGAGCGAGGACTAGAACCCAGATTGCCTGAGCCACAGTCCTGCTCTTTTAACCACTACACCACCCTTTTTCATCCAGAATACAATGAAATCACACCATGTCTCCTATATGAAGGTTTTTTAGTGCCTCTTATTTCTAGATTAGCACTATTATCCTATAGGCAGCACATGCTGCCTTATGACATGGAGAATATTCTGTTCCATTGGACCACTTGCAGCATGTGTAGAGCAGATGGGAAGGGACATAATGTGTATCTGTGGTGTTGTCATCCATTTATCTGCATTCCTTTTCTGCAGGAGAACAGTTAAAGAGGGCAGGCATGGGTACTGGCCTTCTTGCTTTATACACAATGCGTTTTTTTTTCCACACGTGCCTATATGCAAAGTTCACTGATTTCACACATTGAGTGGGTACTGTTTGTGAAATAAATAGGTTTCTGTATTTAGGTTTATGAGAAGAATCCATAGATTCATGGAAGTAGTTGTGTGAGCCTCTGAGAGTTTTTGAATTAGTCTTTCTGGAACATCATCTTGCTCTACATTGGGACAAACTGCTGTTGAAATGGAAGGCATCAACAGCAGTTTAAGACAGGAGTATATAAAATGTTCATAGAAAAGTCAGCAATGCCACTGACCTAGTACAGTCCACTTTCTGTAAGTCACTGTGCCAAAACAGCTGTGCATGCCTTTATTAAACTTACTCTGCTCACCTCCTGTCCTAAAGATCTTCTGGCAAGTGCTGTCTCCCCGTTGCTGCCACTTGCAAAAAAGGTGCTCAGGTAGGCACTATGTTGTGATGTCTCTCCAGAAAGCGGGAGTAGGAGAGGGGGATGAGTGAGACAAAAGAGCCGAGTTGTGCTGCCTCAAGCCTGACACTGTCACCCAGTTGATTTCCTCCTCAAATCCAGCACCTGCCCGGCTGATTCTTCCTTCTCCAGCTAGCATCTGTGAGAGGCTTCCTTCAGGACCTCAGTGTGGGGGAATCAACTGAATGGTGATGGTCCTTTCTGTTACACCACACACCTGATTCATCTCCTTTTGCCTGGGGAGGATCAGGTGCCCTTCTTATGCTTTGGTGCCTTCTGGAGCAGGAGGCAAGGGTGCTTGATGAGTGCTCTCATAGTCTCTGCTGCATTTCAGGGCCTCAGCCCTGTTTCTGTAACAGAGACTGCTTGACAGCCACAGCAAGCCAAACTTGAGTTGTGATCATGGCTGCCAAAGAGAGGAGCCTCATTCATCCCTGCAGTGTCTCCTGGATTAATGCCTAGAGGATAGAGAGGGAGGCTTACCAGCATGAGCCTAATCTGGTACTTCTAGGGACCTCAGGGTGAACATCTTGCAAACCATGGTAACTGGACAGGGTTGCTTGTTGTGCTGAGTGAAACCAGCCAGGAAGTTGGCCCCTATGGCAATTCTAAACAGCCCTGTTCCAATCTTCCTTTAAGTACTGATGCTTGCCTGAATTTTTAAAGAGTTGCTGATTTGTATTATGAATTGCTTAATTTACTTCATGTGCGCTGTAAATCTTATTTGGTATGTTTTGACATTGCTTTTTTAATTCTAAATATTTGAATTGTATTTCAACTTGTTTTTTATAAACTTTGTGAGTCTCCTTAAGAAGGCCTCTTTGCTTTGAAAGATGGCATAAACCTTCCCCCACTCCACTATTTCTCTGTGCTGTTTTAGGCAGGGTTTCTGTCTGGCTCTCTTCCCTGTTGGACGACACTACTGTGTCTGCACCACTTAGGGGAAAAGGTAGCTTGCTTCCAAACTCTTTTATAGTCCAAAGGGTAGGTTATACAATGGGACTTGGGGGCAATAAACATCCAAATCTGATTTGCCACCAAAGCAGGCTTTTGAATTCTGGCCTAGATACAAGTATCTAAAGTAAAATTCCTTTGGCTTCACTAAAAGTGAGATCATTTGTGC